AATAACATGCAAAGTGTAAACATTGCACATTTAATACTGCAGCTTTCTCGTGATGCTGCTACTCATGTTTCTGTCTGCATCTCCATAATGCAGTATAATATTATTATCATATAAATGATGATTGCAATTAATAATACAATAAATACTGTATTTTGTGACTCCATGATGATAAACTAAAATATGAAACGATGGGCCTTTCATTTTGTCCATATGATGAGGGTGAACTCATTTATGCTGAACATTAAACACACACACACACACCTGCACAGATTTACTCCACCTTCATCTTCAGTGCAACACACACACACACAATCACAAGTAGCACAAAGCCACACAATAACCACACACATAGTGACCCAGAGGTCAGAGGTCACCGCAGGGGTCAACGCCTCTGAATCACGTAAATCACCTTAAAACAAAAACAGCTGAGGAAAGGAAAAAATAAATATATAAATAAAGTGTCCAACATACAAAAATAAATAATTTTAACTTAAAATAATAATAATAATAAATCAAATAAATAAAAATATTAATAACAAATATGAATTGTTAAGTGAAATGCTACATATAAACACTGTATTTTTAATATTGTGACTCTCTTCCAATGCTGTTCTTCATGTTTCTGTCAATAGAGCTTAATATTGCGCGCATATAAATCATGAAAAAGTATTACTGCACACGTGAATTCTGCTTCGTTCATTTGAAAATCTGGAGATTAAAATACATGAAAAAGTTTGAGCTGCAGAAAAATGTTTCAACACGGATGATAACCATCATAAATATGTATCGATCATCAAATAATAATATTAGCATATTTTCTGAAGGATGTGACTGTAAAATAGAGAAACTATGCAAAAAATTCCACAGGACAGATATAAATTACACTATACCATATATGCATGATAAAAAATATCTATTTTAATAATATTAATTAACAACAATAATAATAATAATAATAATAAAAATAATACATTTATTTTATTTTCGTCTTAGTCCCTTTATAACAATAATAATAATAATAATAATAATAATAATATTTAAAAATAATAACAGTAATATTGAATAATTTTGAATGTATTTTTTATTGTTTTATGACTGCCTAAATGGAGTTAATACAGTACACTGGCTCTCATATGGAAGAAAATCTGCTTTCAAATACTGATTAATTACTTTATGAAAGTGGGTCAAACGTTTGATCATCCTTCACCTGTGTGTGTGTGTGTGTGTGTGTGTGTGTGTGTGTGTGTGTGTGTGTGTGTGTGTGTGTGTGTGTTAGAGAGAGAGAGACTGATATCACTTAAAAAAGCAGCAACTGAAGTAGCCAAAGCACCGGCTTTTACAAACAAAGTGCGCACACACACACTCACACACAGTGCACTA